GAGAGAGAGAGAGAGAGAGAGAGAGAGAGAGAGAGAGAGAGAGAGACTCCTCCCGCACAACAAGTCGGTTCTCCTCCTCCACCGCCGACACCAGGCTCGTTTCCTCGCGCTAAATGCGGTGCCATCAATGGGCCTGACAGGATGTGAAGCCTCGCAAGAAGAAGCAGAAGGATGGCTAAACCGGGCTTGTCTGCAGCCAAGCTGCTGCCAATGCTGGTGATGGGCTTCTTCGTCTGGGCGTCTTCGGTGAAAGCCGGTGAGTTGAACCACAGGTTGATGATGATGGCAGGTAAACGTCTGTCTGTGTTTGGACCTGCTGAGTGTTCAGCTCAGCTCTCTGGGAACTGAACTGCTGTGGTATGGTGATGTGATGTTTGTGCTTTTTGTCTGCATAGAAACTTGCATGAGCTGGTAAACAATAAGCTTTATTAAAGCCCCCAAAAATGGCTGACCAAAGATATAACCTCACGCTGCCTCAACACCTGACTTTCTTGCATGAATAACAGATAATTTTTTTTTTATAACTTTATTCATTTCTTTTAAAAAAAAACGAAACAATTTATATACAATAAAAAAAACACAAACAAAATGAAATGAAAGGTGGCAGAATGAAGAAAAAAATCTTATAATATCTGCCCCTTTTTTCTCAAATACAAATTCAAACAATAATGATCTTCAGTTAGCAAAACAAAAAGATCAAATCCTTTCAAAACAACAAATTATATGGATACAGATTATACTGTTCCATATCTATTTAACAATCCAGCCTTCATCAACTTTTTGAACGTATACATTGATTTGGCACTTTTAACATCATCTTCTAGACTATTCCACAATCTGATTCCCTGGATTGAGGTGCACCGCTCCTTCAAACAGGTTCTAAATCTAGGTTTTATGAACATCTCTGTCCCCTTTAGATTATAACAGCTTTCTCTCTTTACAAAGTTTAATAATAAACCTGATTAATTAATACAGTCGCTCAAACAAGTTATTTAATTAAAAAAAATCCTAAACCTCAAAAATAAATACTAACTAGATAAATTACATTTTCTGTCAAGGCTGAATGTCTTTGTTGAAGAAATAATTAACCGAATTATTAAAATTAAAGCAAGCAGCTAAAATCAGCAAAACATTAGCTTAATGCTAAAAGTAGCAAAACAGTAGCACAAAGCTAAAATCACCAGAAACCACAGCTAAGAGCTAAAATTGGCAAAACTGTAGCTACATATTAAAAGTAGGAAAACCATAATAAAAGATAGTAGCAAAAGCTGAATGCTAAAGTTAAAAATGAAAAAACAAACAAACAAACCTGTAGTTAAAAGCTAAACACAAAAACAACAAAATGTAAAAGTAGTGAAATCATAGCTAAGACCTGAAGTAAAAAAACCCAAAAACAAACAAACAAACAAAAAAAAAACAGTCAAAGCAAAACAAAAAAACGTCTAATGTCAAAGCAGGCAAAATGGAATAGCTAAAATTAGCAAAACAATAACAAAAAGCACAAATTAGCAATAGTAATTTAAGCAATAGTAGCTTAAAGCTAAAATTAATGTAGGAAGATAAAGAAGATTTTACAGAATGTTTTTAAAACAATAGAAGAGGTATACATTTTAAAATATGTTCAGTTTCAATTAATTGTTTGAGGCTTAAATAAAAGTGTGACATTACTGATGGACAATTAAAGGCACAGTGTTTAGGATTTGTTGTTTTCAGCGACATCTAGTAGTTGAGTGGTTGAATCATACTCCCTGGTCCTCCCCCCACCCCCAATCC